CTAAAAAAAAAAAAAAAAAAATTTTGGATTTCTCTCCAAAATATGTATATGTAAAATATTTTCCACAGACCAAAACTCTATTTTGAACTATTTTAAACTCTACTCTAAATTATGCAGTGCAAAGTAAAATAATCATTCACCTGAATATTTTTTAATGGACAAAAGACTCCTCACTGACAGCAGGTTTTCATCTGATCAGTTTTCATCTTTATTCAACAATGTGATATTCTGGTTATTAAATCTTCTCACATTCATGTTTGACATAATGGTTGACCTTTTTCTTACTGTCTCTAGCAATCTGGCCCTCCTGACAAGTGGTTAATTTATGAGCTCAACGGGGGAGAATTCAAGACGTCAAGTGATTTTTGACAGTGCATGATTTATCAAGTATTTGAATCCTACCAGTTCCCACCATTTTACTCCTTTAGAGAAAACAGCATGATCTTAGGCTGTATCCATGCTGTAGTGCCCAGAATGAAAATGGCAGAATAAAATTTGTCTCCTGCTGTGGGACTCCCTGCTTCCCACTTCACTTACAACAAGGGAATCCCTTTTCTGCAGGATACTCATTTCACAAGGGACACAGGATATTCCTCTTACTTCATCTTCACTGAGGAAGAGGGCAGAGGGGGATGGTAATAATGGATAAATGAAGGATATGGAGACTCTTCAGTCCAATCGATATTTAGGCTCATGTGAGCTGCAGTTCTGGGCCCTTGACTGCTACACTGAAGATACTCTCCATACTCTCACGAAAAGAAAAAAAAAAACAGATGCACTGCTTCGTTAGGATATTGTAATCTTCAATATAGATTCATTTTACAATTATTCCTAAAATTGTGGATGTCTCTCTATATAGCATATTTTTTTACAATACCTCAGAATATAAGCAAATAAAATTGTTTTAAAGATTGCAAATGAGGTGTTACTTTTAGTACTTTTGTCTCTGAACATCCTTATATCATTTATTTTTGCCACCCACTTAACATTCACACCTATATTTTATTTTCTCCAAACAGATTAGGCTACTATGACTATATTTGATTATCACTCAACTCCTACTGTCCGCTTCTTTTCATTTAAAACAGAATTATTGGAACTGTTGTGTCACAAAAATCTACTTGTCACGCTAATAAATTGGAATTTAAGGTTATTATGGAATGACCTGCATAAAATCGTTTAAGTACTTGATTTCAATGAAATAACTGTTCTGTCAATCTCTGACTTAAGCCCTATTCAGAAGGGAATAGTTTTCTAAACTAAATTTTTATCACCCGACATCTGCAATTTGACTAACGAATGAGACTAACATCTCCAGGGGCCGTATGTATAAAGCCGCTCAAAAGCCGCTCAAAGTAAAAGTTTAGTCTTTGTGTGTCAAAATTCTAAGAATGACGTAATTTTACTCTTATTCCTAGACTTAAGAATAAGAGTGATTCATAAAGGTTCCTAAGTGTTAAAAGAGGTCTCAGCTCCTAAATTATTTAAGAGAGCTGGAGAGGTCTCCTAACCTAGTTAGGAGTAATAAGATGGCAGCAAAGAGGAGACGACAAACACTTTCCAGCGAAAATATATTGGACTTATATGATAATATGGAGTTGATAAAACGATACAAACTTAACTGTAAAGATCAAAAAGTCTTTAACTGATAAAGTAAAAAATTTAATAACCTCTTCCACTCAACAAGTCAATGCTCTAACAGCAGAAATTAAAGTAGTAATTAATTTTTTTTGGCTGGAAAATTGGAAAAATGCAGCAATGCACCGGTGAGCATTTCTGAGAAGTTTTATACATACGGGCTCAGTTTTATTACAGAGGTGGGTGCCCTGATAGCACACATAGTATGGCAAGCCATTAACATTTAATCTATACTAGTATCTATTTTCATGCTACTAGAACTTATTTAATAGATACTAGTTATTCATTAGGTAATAGCACTTAGACACTTTTTGTAATTATTACTAGAAACAATTCTTATCTTACTAGTCAGATCTGCTTTTTTACTCATGTTATGACTAGTCTGAATGGCCACAATAGAGTTCAATTAAAAATATTACTAGTAAAATAAAAAATCTTCCTAGTAACATTTCAAATAAGTACTACTATCTAATACATTTTAATAAATGTTAATAAAAATATATTGAATGAATACTAGTGGCTAATCAATAAGTACTAGTACAGGTGCATCTCAATAAATTAGAATGTCATGGAAAAGTTCATTTATTTCAGTAATTCAACCAAATTGTTAAACTCGTGTATTAAATAAATTCAATGCACAAAGACTGAAGTAGTTTAAGTCTACTTCAGTCTGTGTGCATTGAATTTATTTAAATTCACGTGCCCCCTTAGATTTTTGAGCCAAGTGTATTTTCAATGCAGCTTCCAAAAGACAAAAAAATATCAGAATAATATTTTTATATTTAATACGATCACACCAGCATGATATAAACATTCAGTGCGGCACATCACCAGCTGCTAAATTCAATTCTGCATTGACTGGTTGGCTCTTAACCCAGAAACAGACGTGTTTTTACAGCGCTGCGCATTATAACCAATCACACACGATTCTGTTGAGCTTATGAATGCAATGACCAATCAGAGGCGTTCAGATGAGTTATCGCTGAAACGCTGGTGTTTTGTTCACGCACTCGCTGACTGAATTCTGCTCTCCGGCAAGTTCTCTCATCAGAAACAACAATGAGCAGATGTGTGTATGATGTAAGATATTAATTTCACAGTGTAAACAGCTTCAGGGATTTTAATGGTAGTTTTTGAGAGTGCTTAAACACTGGTTAGACTATAATCAGTGAAAATGTTCTTTGATAATGTAAATGTTCTTTGCTCTCTTTCTTTACTATGAAAGTGTTATAATTAGTAACTTACAATGTTTTTATTAAATTCACATTAAATACAAAGTCAGTCGTACTAAACATTTTATGGCATGACTCCCATGTCTGGTACTTAAGTAAAAAGACAGGTTTTTATGCGTAGTTAATATATTACACTATTAGGCTACTTTGCCCATCATCCATTATAGATCAACTAACATGATGTGTTTGGAAATATGTCAAATAAAAAGGAAAAAATAAATAAAACATAAGCCTACCTAGTACCTAAAGAATAAAAGTAGCTAATGAATAAGCACTAGTACTTAATGGAAAATATACTAGTATCTAAAAAAAAGTACTAGTAGCATGAAAATAGATACTAGTACGGTTTAGAGATTAAATGTTAAAATGGCTTGCCATAGTAGCTACATTTCAGAGACATCTATCTGATGTGCGTGTTTACATCGAAGACATATTTTTTAGTGTCTGCAATACGTATTGGATGATTCCTCAGATGTTAAATTAACATTTATAAAAAGTATTTAAGATGTTCATTATTTAGAATGTTTGTAAAACTGACATCTTAAAGACGTTTATCAAATGTTTGTACACAGCAGATGCCTTCCAGATGATGTGATCTTTAAAAGACATCCTGCAGATGTAGGCTACATGTGCATATGGGTGTTTTCTAGAACTAATGTGGTTGCGTGCATCACATATGACATATATGTTTCTTAATGAAATGTGTATTATTGTAATTTATTATCAAAAAAAAACATTATTTAAATAAACTTAACATGGGTTATAATAGTTGCTTATAATAAACCCACCTAAGAGAGCAGAGAAATCTATAAGGCCTACCTGAGGCTGATGATGGTGCTTGGCCAGTCTTAGCAATTTCTGTGATTTGGCTGTCCTTTCCCATCCAAACAGTGCTTTGGTAGATTTGGACGGGGTTGAAATCATAAGTATAGTCTGTGACACAAACTTCTCTGACGTCCTCCTGGAAAACTTGTCTTGTCCGAGTAGGGATTTAAATGTCCGATAATTTGGACATGTAACGCTTAACACATAATTACATTAAACTAAAACCAACATCAATGGTCATTACGTAGTTCCAACAGCATTTATAATAACATGATTTTTAGCTAAATATGGCAGGGGTATTTTGGTACAAACATTTTTTAAAAAGTACTGAAAACATTTGAAAGTGATGTATAAACCCATGTTTCATATTAATATAACATAATTTAATATAGTTTTTTTTTTTTTGCGGGACTTGATACAAAATAAATAGATTGTGAGTATTGATATATAGATACTGTAGCACTGATGTGCCCATCCCTAGTAAATTACTCCTGTAACTACACAAACTATGGCATCATTTATGCCATATCAGTTCTGAGTCTGATAATACAGTCAAGAAAAACAAGCTGATCAACCCGAACCACCTTTGAAAGTACAATTTATATATTTATTTTTACCACTATTCAGAAAGCAGTTGTCAGAAAAATTGTGAGAATGCAACAAAAGGTTGTGGTTGTACTGAGGGTTTTGTTGATGCACTGAGCAGCCATATTCAGAACTCAACTTGAGGCGGTGTTCCAGTATAAAGTTTCTCTTGCAAACTCAAAATTTCTGACTTATTTCTTTCACTGAAATTCATGTTTCATGATCCGTGTGACTTTTTCTGCTAACTCCATTATGTATTCAGTGTGCTCCCCATTGTAAAGAGACCGCAGGGTTAAGATGGGAGGGAGGGAGGGAGGGAGGGCTGGGTGATGTTGAATTGAGATGTTACTTTGCTTTCATTCTGACTTGTTTGCAAATTAAAAAAAATAAATCTGACTTACAAGCACAAATGGAACGCACCATTATAACTACCTTTGTTTGAGGGCCAGCAGTAGCCAGCAGGCGGGTATTATGCAAATGTATTAAATGGTGACGTAGCTACTGTATATCACAGAAATAATGACAGACAAACATTGTAGGATTGAGGATTTTTGAAGTGGTCACCTTTATTTAAAAGACTCATATATCAGTCCAATCATGTTTTGCTTTAAAAAATAATGTCAACATGTGGTTGATAACACAGGGTTTCACAACTCTGGCCCTCAAGATCTATGGTCCTGTAGAGTTTAGCTCCAACCCTGACCAACTCACCTGCCTGTCTTTTTTTTTTTTAGAAATCCTGAAGGCTAGCTTGATTGATTAGCTTGTACATATGTGTTTGATCAGGGTTTGAAGATCAATTTTCCAATAATTATAAAATGTGTCCATATATTCTCACTCTCTTACTATTATAGATACACTAGAAAGAAAGACAAATATTTGAGTCAGAAGCAACACTACAAATATGAATTCCTTGCAACCTTTGGATGGTATCTCCTTACTGTGACTCAGTATCCCTGGGAAGTAACAGACAAAATATGTTAGTGTACAAGAGACAAACGAGATCCACACACAAGATTAAAACCCAGTAGAAGTTATATTTAGAAGAATATATCTTTTGGGTGTTGGGTTAAAACTAACTGGCACTCTATTTATAGCAACTGTATCATCACCACTAAATCATTTACCTGGTTTAGTGCCACATTGATCACTGTAGAGTCTGTGCTGTTGGTGGCTTTGCAGACAAATGCTGAGATAAAGATGGAGATGATCAACTGAAGGATGGAGAACACCAGCAATATTCCAAGGATCCCTGAACCAAACCCCTACAAACACACATTCAACATGCCCATATTTGAAAGCAGTTCCACAAATAACATCCCAGCAATTATATAGATTTTATTCTGATGATAAGAGTGTATCTCAAAAATCAGGATATAAAAGTTCACAAATCTTCTGTCATTTGCACACCCTCTTGTCATTTTATGATTTTTTTCTTCTAAAGAAAGTATTTTAAAGACTGCTTTAACACAATTACAATGACTGAAGACTGAGCTTCCATGCTTCAAAAACACAAGAAAGCACCATATAAGCTAAAACTGTTCATACAACTTGTGTACTATATTTCAAATCTTTTCTAATCACCCAATAGCTTTATGTAAGGAACAACCTGGGGTTTATATTAAGATTTTCATTGATTAATGACATATAGGTAAATGATAACAGAATCTTTTTGGGTGAACTTTTACTTAAATAAAACCGCAATTAAAACAAAATAATGTACATTTAGTACCTGAGGATCTATACAGTCATACCCATAGCAATTTGAACGAATCAATGAGGTGATTCCTATGTCTGCACCCATCAGAATAATGGATATCCCTGCAGTTATGGCACTGATCACATTCATTCCAAGAGAGGCTTTCAACTACAAGGGAAAAATGCTTTTAAGTGATAGGAATTGTGATGGCACACACTTGTAAAACATCCTAAACTCTGTAAAGTAATAATGAGTCAGATATTTTGATCTGTTAGTGGTAAAATAATTAATGTCTAAAAATAAAATGAACGTTGTTTTTTTTTAAATAAAAAATAATGAATGTTGTGCTAAAAAAGCTGAGTTTAATGTCTAATGTTTAATATATGGTGATCAAAATATTGTGTGTGTGTATATATATATACAATATAAATTATTTACATTACTAAATTAATTGTAGTGCAAGTATAACTGATGAATATGATAAGTTAGGCAAGGTCAGTTGCACACCTGATACAAATCTTGATCAAAGAAAATGTTACCACCTTTCTAAAGCTGCAATGAGAGCTTTACTGCTAACAGATTACGATGTCTGGACTGGTGCTCATTTGTTGAGAGCTTGTGGTGATTTGAATTGAGTACAATTCAACAATTACTTGAGTAATGTAAATAATTACTCTCACTCTCAGATTTCAGCATATTGTGTGTGTACATACCACACATGGATGAAGTTTATTCTGCGCCTCAACAGACAGAGAGCCAGCACTGATGTACTGAGAAAGACACACAGGACATGTTAAAGTTCATTCGGGAAATTAAAATTAAAAGGGAATTAAAGCTAAACTATTAAATTAAACTTACAATGAAAGATCCCCAGAAGGTGATGCCACTAGCGACAGAAAAGGTACTAAATATGGGGAAATTTGCGGTGAGTACAATACCAAGTAAGAAGACCATCACTCCAATCATTATCTGTACAGCCTAGAGAGCAGATATACAGTAGGTCAGGTGTTTTATTCATGATGGCATAACATTTATGGTTGGAGACACGAAAATAGAAGCTATTCGTGTTTATAGGGGAGAGCGGGGCACAAAGTAACACTTTTTGACTTTCTCAGTTTGTGTAAATCCACGTGGGGTTCAGAATATATATTTTTTTTATCTACAGTCATTTTACACTTGTCTAGTACAAATATGTCGCTTTGTTTCATAATTACAGTGTATACGTTTTTCTTTATTTACCCTCAAAAAATGGAAGTGAAATGTGACAACATGCACCGTAGGTGGGGTACACTGTAACATCTGAGGGGCACGTTGTAACATGACCATATGGAAGCTTAAAATGTTATCTGATCGAATGAAAAAAAATATACAAGACAAACTAAATTATTTTCTTTAATAAAATAAAATAAATATTTTTTTTTCAAATAAAATACTGGCGTTTTTTAAGAATTAAAAATAATCTGATTTTGGAGTTTGACAATGAACACATTGCAACCATGCTTGAGACGGCCCACATAAACGAGCAAAAATGCTTTACATTTCTTGAAATAATAATTTCTAAACATTAAACATTGACTGTCAGTCTTTATTCACCTGTTTCTCGTTGTTTCTCATTAAAATTCATTAAATTAAATCGTGTAAATTACATCGCTAATGTCATAGAATAGTACATTGTAACGCAGTGTTACAACGTGCCCCATCTGCGCAACTGGAATTTAAAACTGGTTAGTCTTCTGCTAGTTATCAAAGCATTAAAAAACTAGCTAAACTGATAAATAACAGATTGGAGATTAAAATAATAGCAGATTTGTCTCATTTTAAATGAATAATAAAAACTGAGATGAAAAATGTACTTAAGCCAGAATTTTAATTTTACTGTGGTAAAATAAATGTTCAGCGATATCTTCAAAAGATTTTTGAATTTTGGCTCACTTTTTTTCTATATAATGTTGATATGGTAACTAATAAATACTGTACATTTTGTTATGCTAGCATGTGTGGAAATATTAAAATCACGTGTGTTACCACTAACCTCGCGTTACTTTGTGCCCCGCGCTCCCCTACACTAGGGGACAACTGTAATTTTAAGTGATCTAAAAGTGATCTAGAAATTAAATGCTAAGAATATTCCCAAAACTATACATATCATTATAATTCATTAAATGCATTACCCCCAGTGCCTTTGGTTGTGCTTTGAAAAATCCTTTAAGAGCTGAATTGTGAGATACTCCCCTGGCCTGCTGTCCATCAACAAAAACAACACCATCTTTTGCCTCCTGTGGATTTATTTGAATGACAACTGTCGCTTTGTCCGTTGAGATGACCTCACTGGTTTCCATTCTAAGATATGTTTTGGATTTTACCTGTAATTACGCATTAAATGTTATTTAATAACAACAGTTAATAATATGATTTAATGCTTAATGAAATCAATGAAATCAATGAATCTCTTTTTTTCATGTGCATCTGTATTTATATTTAAAGCAACTATAAATGTTGTCACTCTAGTGTATACTCATATCATAATCTTTTGATGAATTGAAATGTATATAGACTACTTTGTTTTGACATGGATGCCTTTACTGTCTTCTGAAGGATCAGAATGTAAAATTTATATTGTTCACAAATAGTTTGCATGATTGTATGTTTCATTTGATTTTGACATTTTGATTTATTTATTCGTTTGTTTGTTTTTTTATAACCCTTAAATACCAAAGCATAAAAAATTAGCATCACTGGTATGAAAGATCACTTAGTCAAAGCTGATCAAAGTCAATCGATGATGGTTATTTTTAACTGATGTGTGTCAAACTGTGTATATAAATATAGGCCTCATAATTAAAATCATTGTAGATGTTAACATAAAATATTTTACCTGAAATGAAATGAGTTGATGTGGATGTCTGATCGTTCTTCTGGTGTATCTTTGTGTGTGTGGACTGTGAAGAACCGCTAAGGAGGAGCTTGTGTCATATGAGCTTGCTTTATAATTGTAAGGATCATGTTGATGCTTTACATACAGATTTAAAAAACTACAAAGCACCATAAACTATAGACATTGATTAAGGATGAAAATACATGTTCAAAACAAATACAATAATTCTGTCGTTGGCCACTTTTTTGCAGTTTTTGTGTCTTTGTCAAGTAAAGTGCTTTAAACCATAGATATTGTTTCAAAGTAGCTTCCTATTAAACAGGAAAATAACATAATAAATAAGGCAAATATGGGTATGACTGTAAAGCAGCTCTAAAAAGACACTAGTGTCATTATTCAGCTCAAGTCAGTTTAGTGTTGACAGTCAGTTCAGTTCCAGTTCATCAAAAGAAATATTTAAATCAAATGAAACATTCAATTTCATTTAAATTCATCAATAATCAGCTGAACTAAAGACAGTAGTCTTCAAATCTGAAATATCACCATGAAAAGTTCATATCACCGTAACATTAATGAGAGGCACACTGGAGCACTACTGTTGCATTACAAAAAAAAAAATGAAAAAAAGTAGTTTAATTTGTTTCCCTGAGCAATTTTTCCACATTGGGTTAGGCTTAATTGATCAAATGTATCATACGATAATGCAACAATTATTAACTTGAATGCAATGTGAGCTGCTCTGGAAAAGAATAATAATAATGTAGATCTAATAATTTAATATAATAATAAATAAAGATGTGTTATTTAGAAAGAGGTCATACAACTACAGCAGAATGCCTTATAACAGCAAACTGGTGCCAGGCAGTTGTGCCTGTGGCTTTGTTGTGGTTGTTTGACATTTACTTTCCATTTTTCTAGTTGTACCTTTGCTGTAGTCAACCATGTGGAGAGATTGCTGACATGAGTAGACTGTAGCATTGTAGCCTACAGTACTTCAGATTTTTAGGCTGCTATGAGCATATATGTAGATATGTAGATAACTACAGCATATAGAAATAGCATCATCTGACTAGTTATAGTTGTCACAACACCACTACCAGAATCATTTCATTTGTTTAGTGAAACACCCGTCACTAGAGGCAGGTGGCTTTGAAGATACTGAGACAGATGCAGAGACCACAAATGCTTATCATTGATGTGTTTTCTTGTCATGCACAGGAAAAGCATCTTGAAACCTGGTTTTAACTGACAGTAACATTTACTTTCTGACTCCAGACATTCTAAATATGCTGGGTCCCCAGTTGCATGTTAAAAATGTACTGATCCCAAAGTCAAGTGTAAAACTAAGACTAAACATACAAGCCCAGTGTGTGGTTGCATAAAATGCTTAGACTAGCCTTACAATTAAGTCATCTAATGTTTTCCTTGTCATCTAAACTTTTTCAAGTCAGTTACATAAAAATGTAGATTGGTCTAATTTGAATCCAAAAAAGTAAGATTGATTGCCCTTTGAATAACTGCTACTGTAATTCGTCAGACTTGTTCTTAAGAAACAGTTTTAACATAATGACTAAGTTTGTACAAGCGGCCCCAAGATCTACTCATTTAGAAGCTTGGTTAACAAATGCAATCTTTGGTCCATGTCAAACATGAAATAGAAGAATGGCCATTCCAAATAATTCTATAATATACACAAATACTCTTGTTTTATTCTGTTCAGTTCCAGTAACACAACATACATACAAAAAAAAAAAAAAAAACCTTTTCTCAATTTTCTAAGGAAGCTGATAGCGCTGGGGTAAAAGAGAGTTTACAATGGAAAGTATTGTGGTTGACTTTTATTCTACTTAAATGCATCAGTGGAGTGCAGTGTTGGTTAAAAGCTACTTTTTTCTTTTTCTTTCGGTAAAAGAGAGTTTACAATGGAAAGTATTGTGGTTGACTTTTATTCTACTTAAATGCATCAGTGGAGTGCAGTGTTGGTTAAAAGCTACTTTTTTCTTTTTCTTTCTTTTTTTACTGGTCCTAAAATGGTGATTGAAAAATTATTATTTTTTCTTGAATATTGGAGCACAAAACATTGTAAAAAAAAGATTTAATTCAAACATGTGATGTATTTTCATGTGTGTTTGGGGCAAGGTGACAGGATCCTGACACTCTTGTCTGGTTCGGTTTACATTGAGATCAAGATACCCATGCTCCATGTTTGGTCTCTTGTTGTGAGCACATGGCTTGTGATTGTTTTCACTGACCGTGTGTACTTGTATTTCGCACACAAAAAAAAAGCTGCAGTATAATAATATTTTATGTGTTACAGTCTAACAGCAATCAGACCACCACAGCATATTGAGGCCATGAGTTTTTTATTTTATCACAGAAGAAAATGAAGAAAAAAAGAACCAAAATCACACACAATTTTAATTCATCATTAAATGATTCATCCGCAGTGCCTTTGTTTTGTTCTTTGAAAAATTCTATAAGAGCCGTATTGTGTTTTGTTCCTCTGGCCTGCTGTCCATCATGACAAATCTGTGGATTTACTTGGATGACAACTGTAGCTTTGTTAGTTGAAATGACTGCTTTCGATTTCACTGAATCACAAAAGGCTAAACTACAAATGCAAGATATATATACCATCCTGGTTAACAGATACAGTACAATCTTTGATGCATGTCAAACATAAAATAATATAACAGACATGTTAGTTACAAATGAGACTCAGTCAGAATCATTATCAGTTTTAATTCTGCTAGCAAGAGCCACACACCTGAAACACCATATTTTTATAGGCTGAGAGAAACCCACCTCAACCTAATTAAGTAGTCCAAAAGTATGAAAAATTCTGTAGTTTACAATAAAGCTGTATGCTGTGATCAGGTTATACTGTAGGTTATTTATATTTCTTTTACAATCTACTAGCTTTAACTTTGGTTGTGGCTTGTAATAGCATCACCACCATTAAATCATTTAAGTGCCACATTGACCACTGTAGAATGGATGTTGCTGGTGGCTTTGCAGGCAAATGCTGAGATAAAGATGGAGATGATGAACTGAGGAATGGTGAACACCAGCATTACTCCAACAATCCACAAAACAAAACTCTGCAAAACATTCAACATGGCCATATATGAAAGTAGTTCCAAGAAAAAACATCCATCAACTACACTGAGTGAGTTACTAGAAATTATATTAAGCAGGTATTTTGAGCTAAATATGAGGGCATATCAACAAACAGGATTAAGCAAGAGGTCATAAAGAAAGAAAGAAAGAAAGAAAGAAAGAAAGAAAGAAAGAAAGAAAGAAAGAAAGAAAGAAAGAAAGAAAGAAAGAAAGAAAGAAAGAAAGAAAGAAAGAAAGAAAGAAAGAAAAAGAAAGAAAGAAAGAGAAGTCATTCTTCTATGGAACATGACACATTTTGAAGACAGTTTTTTGCGATTACAATAAATGGTAACTGGAGCTTTCAAGCTTCAAAGAAAACACAAATCAAAAACAACTGGATTGTTATTATTATTATTAACTTGATAATCTGTCCTTCTAGTGAGGTGTTGGATTGAGTCTTGAACTTCAGAAATAAATTAGTCCAAATAATGGACAAGTCTGAATTTGTGAACCGGAAAAATAAAGTTCATAAATATGACTTCATCTGCATCTCTCATGAACTCTTATGAACATGCCAAGAAAAAGCTAAAGCAGATGCTAGAATTTTCAGTGAATAATGACTTAGAAGTCTGGTTCTTACAGAAAGTTATTGTATGGCTTGTAATATATTGTATTGCACAGATCACACGGACTGCTTTTGTGATAGTTTTAAAATTCTTGTCCCTAGTCATTGTAAATGTATGTTATAGAGTGACCAGTGCAGTCTTCAGTATATAAAACTGCAATTAAAGACTAAAACAATTTAATACACATTACTCATTAATGTAATGAGATAACACTGATAACACTCTGGCGTTTTGAGCGGTGAGTGGATTCTCACCGCCTCTGACTTGCCATCCCATTCTAGAAATCAACAGATATGTCTGTAGTTGGCTTTATTGCTCAATGCTGAAAAAACACTTTGTAAACAGAAATGCTCATGCCCTAGAAAAAAGTCAGCGTGCTTGGAATAAACTATGCATTTCTTAAAATTGCATTAAAATAAATTAATTAACGAGAGGAACGTCACTCAGTGAAACGAAGTAAAAAAATCTTTTTTTTCATTAGAAATTTGCTTGAGTTAAAGTAAAAGTACCCATCTTTAAATCTACTGTTGGTCCAAATTTCACAAAAATGTACTCAAGTAAATTTAACGGAATAAATATACCTTGTTACTAACCACCTCTGCTGGATAATCCAATGATGTTTCTTCTAATTGTATGCCCATCAGAAGAATTGATATCCCTGCAGTTACAGCACTGACCACATTCAACCCAAGAGAGGCTTGCACCTGCAGGAACAGAATGTACTACTTTTAGAAAATCTAAAGAACAGAATTAAAAGGCTTGCAGAAACAGAGGGGGGGGGGATAAAAACTATAAAAATTACAATGAGGGTTGTAACAAGACTTTCCACATTTACTTACTGGACCCCCAAAGAGTGCACAAATGGGACAATGTTCAGCTGCTATTTCCAAATGGAAATACATAAGAAAAAAATGACAAAAGAAAAGTTATAAAATGCTGAAATTGGTGGATGATACTGTATATACTTACCAAACAAGAATTAAGTTTTCTCTGTGCAGCAACAGACAGAGATCCAGCACTGATGTACTGAGGAAGAAACACAGGACATGTTGAAGTTGCTGCTGGAAATAAACATTTCAATTTAAGGGAAAATGAAGTAAAATTAACATACAATGAAGGATCCCCAGTAGGTGATGCCACTACTGATAACAGTAATGGGATAACCGATGGTGATGGTGAGTGCAATACCAGTAAAGAAGACCATAGCTCCAATTATAATCTGGAAAATCTAGATGGCAGGTACAGATTAGATGTTTTATTCATGATGGCATAACATTTATGTTTGGATATACACAAGGTAGAAGCTATATGGATGTTTATTGTACTACAGCAACTAAATTAAATGTACTAAATTAAATCAAACACATATCTCTGCAGTAGAGCTCTTATGACAAAAGATTTCTTTCATTTTGAATGATCTAGAATAAAAGAAATGGCAAGAATATTCCCAAAACCATATATCATTAAATGCATTACCCCTAGTTCCTTTGGTTGTGCTTTGAAAAATTCTGTAAGACTATTGTGTTTTGTTCTTCTGGCCTCCTGTCCATCAACAAAAATAACACTGTCTTTCACCTCGTGTGGATTTACTTGTATGATAACTGTAGCTTTGTCAGTAGATATGACCTTGCTGGTTTCCATTCTTGGAGAAGTTTTGTCTGAAAACAGTGCCATTCAGATTCATATAGATACATTAATTTGATTGTCTAATGGAATTTCAAGTACAAAGCAAAACTTACCAAGAGCGACACTAAAATAATTATTGATGCAAAAAATATATATTACCTGGAATGAGATTTGTTGAGGTTTGGTAGCTCTTTTGATGTATCTTTGTGTGTGTAGACTCGGTGAAGAAGGTGGGGCTACAAAGTTTCTTTTGATTTCCACCTTCCTCTTAAAACAGGAAGGTGCATTTTACATATAGAAAAAAATGGCTATTATTATTATAAAAATGCAAAAACAATTGTATTAAAATAGACAATAATAAAATTGTTAATAATAACTGTTAATAATTTTAAATGTATTGTAATTTAAAATGTTTAAATTGTGCTGTATGTAATCAGTGACAGTGTGCTGACGTCTGTGTCTCACACCATCACACCATACTCAGCAAAGCAGAATTACGAATATTTTCTATGCTAGGTGTCGCCAATGGCTTTTGCAAGGGGGGCCACTGACTGGACCATCACTGATTTCATTAATTATGCACAAAAAAATATTGAGGCAACTTTTTAGTAGTACCTTTGCTATCACTGATTACATACCTAACACATAATGATTATTTGTGGGTTTTCACTGCAAAACTACACAAAAGAAATGCTCAAATATCAGTGCCGTTTATGAGAAAAGCCACAGCAAATTCAGTCATTTTGGGACACAAAAATTAAAACTAAAACTGAATAATCAGAACCTTTCAAAGAACACCAGCTCATGTGTCTATGTTCAAAACACAAACATTCAAATTATTTATAATTATTACATTTTAGGCACAAAGAGTTACTGTATGTAGTCCGCAGTAGACTCATCATCGGCACTTTTACAGTTTTTTTCAACTGCTTACACACATTTTCAAAACTTTGCCTCTTTTTTTCAAAACTTTGCACACAAATCCAAGAATTGCACACACAAAATGTAAAATGCCTCACATCTCTTGGAAAATGAAGCACTGAATTCAAAATATCACAAACACATCTCAAAAGCAAACATTTACAAACACCTTTGCCATAATATTAATTCCTGTTCGATTTTTATGTGTTACATAGAGAATTGTGTGTTGTGCTTTGCAATAAGTGTTTTATGAAATTGAAAACTGAGTCAAAGGCCGAGAATTAGTGTATGATTATGCAGATTTGGTGTGTGGTGTTTGAGTGTCAGGTTTCAGAAATTGTGTGACAAGTAAAGATTCTGTGTGTAAGCAGTTGAGCAGTTTGGGTAATGTGAAATATTTATCTGTAAAGCCACATCAATAAAATCTTCCTTTCTAGTTTTCAGTATTGCCCAAATTGTTATGACTTTCAGAACAAGCCTAAGATGTGAGCAACATGTTATGCCATATCAAAGCCATTTAGCTGATGCAGATAATTCATGAACTGGACACAAACACTTACTAATGGTGTGTGTGTGTGTGTGTGTGTGTGTGTGCCTACTTAACCATATTTTGGGGACAAATTTGTACCCAAAAGTGAGCTAAACCTGACAAAATCTCCAAAAACCTCCCTTTAGGGATGTCCTCATTTGTAAAACTGGTATACAAATAAAGTAAACAAAGTTTTTTTTTTAATTGTAAAAATGCCGAAAGATTCCTGTAAGGGGTAGGTTTAGGGGTAGGGCGATATAATAGACAGTTTGTATACGGTTTGAACAGTATAAAAACCATTACGCCTATGGA